CCCCAAAACCCCAAAACCCCAAAACCCCAAAACCCCAAATGCAATTTTTTGTAAGATTATCAAGTTTTTAGAAGTTCTATTACTTAATATATTAGATTGGCAAATGAGCATTTATTAACCTTAAAACTAATCGATATGTATTAAATAAATTAAAATGATAAAATATCTTCTCATATTCTTCTTCCTTTTACTACAGTAGATCTCAGTATCCTCAATAAAAAGCCCTCAGCACAGACTCATATAAAATAAGATCGCTACCTAAGTATAAGCTTAGAATCGTAACCAGTAACAATCGAAATAAGCTGCTTCCTTGTAAAAGATTTTTGACTCAATAGAAAACATATCTTCAGCACTATCTTAAATGTCAAAAGTGAACATGACTTTTTCAGAAATGATAAAGGCAAATGTTACCACAGATTTAATGGCTGGTAATCCAGAGAACATTAAGACCCTAACTTAACTAATCTAAAAACTTTTCAATGAGACAGTTGCTAATGGGTATGATTTTTACTTCAATAATACTTTTGCTGATGAGCAAACCTTGAATAAAACCTTAGGGATTCTTAGCTCACTGTAAGATCAAGTAAACTTCATTTAAATGATGGCATAAGTAAAATTCGGCAATACTGCTTCATAAATCAAGGATTATAATTGCAGGAATAATCTTATTTCGGCTCAATCAAATATAGCCAATACCTACAAACTTTTTTTGGCTGCTTATGGAAGAGGAATGCAAACTTAAGAATACTAGCTATATCAAAAAGCAATGAAAGATAGTAATAGTCTTGCTGGTTACTCATCATTCCTTGTAGATAGTTTATCCAATAAAAGCTCTTACTGTAGAATATTTGATATTCTTTAAAGTGGGACCGTTTCAAATTCATTTGTCGGTTTACCAGTAATGCTGAATATGGCTAATTCATACTTACTCATTGCAAATTAAGCATTTATCATGCAAATAACTTATATCAACTCTAATTATGTTGACATTACAAGATCAGATCTAAGAGTAAATTACTCTGCTTCATTATAAATGAAAAGTTACTAAGTACCCTATTGTAATGCCTACCTATATTGGAATATTATTTAAGACTGGTAAAACATGACAAAAGTTAATATAGTAAATCTCTTCAATAAGTAAGTATAACTAATAAATAGTACAGAGTTTGCAGGTAAAGTCATGGATGCTATGGCTTTGATTAAGCCAGGGTTTTACGTGGATGTTCATCTTTTCTCAGATAATACTGCAAAAACCTATCCAGATGGTTAAGGCAAAAAAAGAATTTCATTTTTCTCGGCAACTTAAATCAACAATCGTCAAGAATAGAGACAATATTACTTTGCTATCACAATCGCTCCTAAAGATGATTATAAGAACTATACTGCAATACTTGAATCCAAATTTTCAAATTTCCGTGAATATCTCAATAATAACTAATAAACATCTACTCGCACCATGAATTCTGGAGCCTTGAGAACAGTGAATGCTGATTGCTAATTAGATGGAGCATTGGTTTTCTGGAACTGGAGTGGCTATTATCCTACCGTATTTGAATACCCTCTTAAAACTGAATCCAAAAACAGATATAATTACTTGAATGGTAGAATGGCCTGTGAGCATTAAGATGGCTTCGGTTTTTGCATCTTTGTGTGATAAACTAAATCAAACGCACAACTCACTACTTAAATTCAAACCTACTTTACTTAAACTTTTAATACTTTTTATCTTACCTGTCAAATCCATATATATAAGTCATATGGGGTTTTGGGGTTTTGGGGTTTTGGGG